TCATACAAAGACCCTATAGCAAGCTATAGCCTCTTTAGGGAATCTCAGTTAACAATCCAGAAGTAAGTTATTATAGATAATACATTTCTTAATGCAGACTAATAATTAGTAAGTTCCAAGGAAAATCTTTCTTCTGAACTTAATGTTTTTGAATGATTTCCAGGCTTATTGGTCACTTGTTCTGAAAGAGCTTTCAGTTATGTTTCATCAAATCCCAAAATGCATTCTGGATACCGGTGACAAGTCGAAGCGTGGAGGAACATGGCTTCCAGGATCAACTCTAAATATTGCTGAATGTTGTGTGATACCCACAGATCATCCCAGAAAAGATGACAACAGTTTGGCTGTCAGATGGAGAGATGAAGGCAGTGATGATTCCAAAATTAATTGCATGACTTTGAAGGAACTTAGAGAACAAGTAATGTATGCCCGCCATGTTTTTTTTTTAATTTTTTTTAGTTGAGAGTTTAGTATGGTATGTATTCTAAGCGTAAACTATTTAATCTTCTATACTTTTCATATCAAATAGTTTTTGTAAAACACTATTCTTTTGAAAAGTTGGTGTAAAGGAATGCAGAAAAACATCTAGTCTAATTATTAATTGTGTTCTTTAAGCTTTCCTTATGTTGTTAGGCATGATTTACAGGTTGGTTGCAAATGCGTTGGATGCGACATTTTCAAAGGGTGATGCAATTGCAATTGCGATGCCAATGACAGTCAATGCTGTTATTGTATACCTGGCAATTATATTAGCCGGATATGTTGTTGTATCAATAGCTGATAGCTTTGCAGCAAAAGAAATAGCAACCCGCTTACATGTTGTTAATGCGAAGGGCATCTTTACTCAGGTGATGCTCTGTGTATGTTGTAACTAATATGTCACTGGGGAGGAGCTGAGAACGTCAACTCAGTTGGGCCTGACACTTTACAGCCTTTTGATAAACTGCTGGACGTAACTTCATTGCTAAAATATTTGCATGTCTATCAATTGTTATGCAATGATCTGCTAACTCCAATAAAATGAATGAGAATGAAATTTCAAGGCATTCTGCTTGGCTCCAATGTTGTTCAATCTTAACTGATTCATGGCTGATGAACTTTTTTTTTATTTAGAATTTTATCACCTTGAAGATATCAAATTTTATTTCTCCATTTATATGTATTTTTCAGGATTTTATACTAAGAGGAGGTCAGAAAATTCCTTTATACAGGTAAAACCACCTCTCACTGTCTGCTGTAGATATCACGTCCCTTTTCTAAACTTTTTGGTTGTGGTAGGGAGAAACTTTGGATTTAGGACTGCTCTTACCCAGTCCGCCTCTCTAATCTTGTGCTTTTACCGATAGCTGTTAATTGTATTCCTCCTACATATCAAATCTAAAAACAAATAACCAATACATAACAGATTTGGTATTTATCAGTATTGCAATAAAATCATCATGGCTTTTTTTTTGGTTTTGCAGTCGAGTGGTAGAAGCTTCTGCGCCTAAAGCTATTGTACTTCCTGTCAGTGGGAATAATGTTGGCATTAAATTAAGGTATCAAGACCTATCATGGAGAGATTTTCTTTCAAGCACCAATCACTATCCAAGGTACACTGCAGCAATTACTATCAAGAGCTGTTAATTTTATCAGGACAAGATGTTTGTATGGCTTCTCTGATTACTTTTCCATCCAACGTTGTAATTTAACAACTTAACTTTATAGTGTTTTCTTTGTGCTAGACCAAATCATTATTCTCCAGTATATCAATCAGTAGACTCTGTGATTAACATTCTCTTTTCATCTGGAACCACAGGTAGATGAATTCTTCCGTTTGCATATATAGTTATTTCTATACTTCCTTAGTTGTTCAATAAATGACTCTGTAGTCATGTCCCTTGTTTTTTATCAGGAGAACCCAAGGCCATTCCATGGACACAACTTTCGGCAATTCGATGTGCATCTGATGTATGGTGTCATTTTGATATTCAAGTTGGAGATGTTTACTGCTGGCCTACAAATCTGGGATGGGTGATGGGACCAATTTTAATGTTCTCATGCTTTCTTAATGGTGCAACTCTTGCTCTTTTTCATGGATCTCCTCTTGGCCGTGGATTTGGAAAATTTGTTCAGGTGATAACTGCATTGTCGTTATTTTTTTTAGTTGAAGTATCAGTTTTAGTGTTCATCTTCCCGCAGCCAGGGTGGGTTCTAGAAGGGGGAGGATTAGGTAGTCTTAAACTTCTGTCTGTTTGCATATGCTACTGTTCTTAAGACCCAAGAATGTAGCCACTATATTCTTTACAGAATTAAGAGCAACATGTAACTTGCTCGCCAAAGCATTAATTTTCTTCTTCTGCTATATTGTCCAGGATTCTGGAGTGACTATTTTGGGTACAGTTCCAAGCTTGGTAAAAACTTGGAAGAGTACTAACTGTATGAAAGGCTTAGATTGGACAAAGATAAAGTAATCTTCTTCTCGAACTCTAGTATATATAGAAATGTTTGCAAATTATAGAGACTTGGAAGCATGCATTTGCAGCACCCTTGGTTCAACTGGTGAAGCCTCCAATGTTGATGATGACCTCTGGCTGTCCTCTAAAGCTTACTATAAGCCTGTTATTGAATGTTGTGGAGGCTCAGAACTTGCATCAGCATACATCCAGGGGAGTCTGTTGCAGCCACAAGCTTTTGGAGCATTTAGTACTGTGGCAATGGCAGTGGGCTTAGTCATCTTTGATGAGTTTGGAATACCTTATGTAAGATCATATACTGAAAAGATTCTGACTGCGGTGTGGTTAATAAATTATTGCAAATCAACCTTTGACTTTATTATGATGCTGGAACCTCATTGCATTCTGATTATTTATCACAAGTCAATAAACTCTATTTATGTTCTGTGTATTTTATTTATTATCTTTGATTGGTTTTGGCAGCCAGATAATCAACCCTGTGTTGGTGAAGTGGGTCTATTCCCTCTATATCTAGGAGCAACCGACAGGCTACTTAATGCTGATCATGATGATGTCTACTTTAAGGGAATGCCTATGTACCAAGGAATGGTAAGGATAGACCTCTTTTTAAACACTTGCCTCGGGACCTATTTTTTCTTAATTCTAGTAATTTATGCAAGTATTACGAAATCATATATAAATTTGTTGAACCTTTTAAACCGTAAACTTGACATCCCACATTATGTCATTTGTAATCTCTTTGCAGAGAGTGACATAATATACTTGTAGGTTCAGTGATCTGAAGAGCAATGGTACTTTTGGAATGGCTCGTGGTATTACATTGATGATAACCTTTTTTGCTTTGGCTCAAACTTGTTAACACATTACATGGAGCAAAGGTCTCTTTCATGGGACATTTGGTTCAATTAGGTGGCTTATATTCGTAGGAGAGCAGGTCTTGAATCTTTGAGTTTTTCAAGAAATATATTTGTTCGGGCATATTATACATTCCTGCTATCAAGCATGTAATTTTAAGAACCTGATTCAGGTCAGGCGGTGTCGGTTTGAAATCAAAGAAGCTGGGAATAGAGGGACTTCAAAATGTCTATACCTTCTTAGAGAAGCGTTGGAGTGTTCATGTCTTCAATGTAATAGGCCATAGCTTACGTGTAAATCTGTTTGTTCTCTGATTCTATTTCCATTTTTATCTGCTTTGTTGCATTGAAGGTCAAACTAATCCAACCCGAGGATCATCATTTTTTGTTATGTTTGAACTCCTGTGCATTAATAATTGGTAGCAGTTAAAGAATTATTTAACAGTCGCTGTAAATTAATCACATGAAACCGGGAAACAGTGATATCTTGCAAGGAATTTTTTATACATTGGCATGTATATTGGCAGTGCCTAAGAAGACACGGGGACATTGTTAAAAGAACTGTTGGAGGCTATTTCACCGTACAGGGAAGGGCTGATGACACCATGAATCTTGGAGGGATTAAGGTATTATATTCCGAGTTTCTCTAACCTTTGTGTTAGCTTTTTTATGGTTTTTTCAATATCAAAATACAGTTTCCTGTAACAAGTTTGAGGCAGGTTTTTGATTCTTCACCAATTGGCTCTTAAGTCTTGAGTTGAGACATATAGATAACTATAGGAATTGAGGCATCTTATTTTTCTTTATTGATATGCAGACAAGTTCTGTTGAGATTGAACGAGTATGTAACCAGGCAGATGATTGTGTCTTGGAGACAGCTGCAGTCAGTGTAGCGTCACAAGATGGTGGTCCAGAACTGTTGGTAATCTTTGTGATACTGAAGAATAGACATGATAGAAAACCAGAAGAATTGAAGATCATATTCTCGAAAGCTATTCAGAAGAACCTCAACCCTCTGTTCAAGGTTTGACACTAATGAATGTTTTTGGTTCTTTTCTTCACTTTTGGTCAGCTGTACCAGTCATGAATCCATGAAAAAACTAGAGTTTACACAATGGCTTAAGCTATAAAGTGATGCAGAATGTATTTTCTGCTTTCCAGGGTTAAAATCTTACCTATCCATTTTGAAAAATTCTGTCAGAAGTGTAATTAACTCCGTATGACATATTAAGCAAAAACAATATCTTTTCACTTCCATAGTAATGTTTAAACACAAACGATGCCATTTTTTCAAAGGGCTGATATGATTGTTGATTAATGAGCAGGTGAGCATTGTTAAGTCTGTCATAGAGTTTCCTCGAACAGCCTCAAACAAGTTACTAAGAAGAATCTTGAAAGATCAAATAAAGCAAGAGCTCTCTGTTCGAAGTAGAATCTAGAGGCAACATCTACAATGTTTGGTTGAAATGTATATATTCGTCATTCATGTTAAGACATTATTATGAAATGGGTCAATAAGTACGTGAATAAAACGAAATGGCTCTGAAGTGCAATTATTTTACATTTCAAGCTACATAGTTGGACATCATGTAATGCCAAAATGATACTATCTTGGATTCTCTCATGTGATATTTATGGTTGCTGCAAATTTTATCATGACTAGCGGTTTCAATTTAATTGCTTAAGGCGATGCGTCTATTTTCCTTCTCTTTGTCCTGGGGGGTGGATGATTTTAGTTCTTATAGTTAAGCTAATATTTCATGTCTTACTAGTTCATTTTGTTTACAAATGACATGGTGTCGTTAGAAACTCTGAATTATAAAGGCTTCTTCTAAAACAAGAAAGATTATGGTACAAAAGAACTCTCAGGTAGAGGACATATTTATGAGATTGGGACATGTCTCTGTTCAAGTAGAACAGATTTACATCCTCTTATCCTATGGCTTATTTTCAAGCTTAAACAGGCCTGAATAATTTCACATATGCTGTGGTTTATTTTCATCAGAATAACAAAGCTTTATCTGCTAGATTGAGACACATCATATTTTGGCAACATCCACAGTTTTCTTCCCACTATGTGCCTTCTTGAAGAAATGTCTAACACAATCTGAATATAGAACTTGCTTGTAGATAGGTTTCTGTCCAGTTGCAAGTGCTTCCGGAAGAGGAACGATTATGTCTTGTGGTACTTGATTGTATTCAGGATTTAATTCTGCAAAAAACTAATATATATAATCTTTTCCACAAAATTCTTGAGACGGACTGCGTTTTTACTGTAGAACATGGCAGAAACAGAGCAGAACAGGAGGTGAAACAGAGTTGAAATAGAACAAAACAGAGCACAAAAACAGGTGCTGTGCACGCGAAACAGAGCGTGTGGTCGAAGCAGAGCAAAAAGAGAGTGTGCAGCTGAGCAGCCCAAAACAGAGGCCGGGGCTGGCTGCTTTTCTGGCTGAAACAAGGGTGAAAAAACAGAGGTGAAACAGAGTTTCTTTTTCTGAAATAGCATGCACTGGAACAGGCTGTTTTCTGGCGTGTCATGGCTGTTTTCTGGTGCAGCAGGGATATTTTCTGGCTTGTGGTTATGGAGGCTGGCTATGAAGGCCAGATTTGGCTTTATGGTTCTCCTTTTTTTTATTCTAGCAATAAAGCTAGTTTAGGATTTGTGAAAAAATTAAGATATTTTTTTTATACCTCTGATATCATGTTAAGAATGATTTTGATGTATAAATATTTTATTAAATATTACAGTATATACTATACAGTTTTTTGGGACGGAAAAGGAAATAGAAAGTAAATTGTAATTAATGACAAATGGTGTAATTTACCCTCATACCTGTAACCTAATTTACTACGTTAACAATCCTATCTCAAGCATTTGAATACTAGATCACGTTCTATGTTTATTTGTTTTCACAGATAATAATCCTTTGTTGGTGAACATGGTGAATACAACTGACAGACTGCTGAAGGGAACCTGCATGCTAAGGAATGACTGCTAAAGGTCTATTACCTCTACCTGGGAGCAACTGACAGACAGCTAAAGGGACTGCCTGCATACCAGGAAATGGTGTGATTTCAGGTCCTCAGCTGAGATAAGCATACTCTGTTAATTTTAGATTGTCTTCTCAGTATCACTTAATTGTCCTTTTTTTTTTCTTTTAGCTAACAATGAAAATCGACCAACTGGCCTTGTTCTGTTTCATTTCCGTGCTGTTTCCATTTCTGTTTTGCCTAGTTTGCATATCTATATATGCTGTATCTTATATAGCCCGATAACTATTATATTTTGAAGCATTTTACCTTTATATATGCTGTATCTTATTCTCCTGGGTTCTTACTATCTTTTGAAATATCTCATCCCCTCTTTTTTTATTCTTCTGTATATCTGTTCATTTCCAGCTTCATGTCCAAGGAACATGACCTTTAAGCAAGACACACACATCCGTAGCTGCATTGGCAGAGAATGAAGGGGAATCCAGTATGTCTGATATTCAACACTTGCAGCAATTTAATGATTCTGTGGAGAACATCACCTTGAAAAGATGACTTGGGTATGTGGTTCTTGACAAGCAACCACCCATTTGTTGTAAAAGATGCAACAGGAAACTCAATCTTGACTCAAGCAACAACTTGAGCATTTTGGTGAATATGATGCGTCCATTTCTATCTCCTGGTTTTCCTTCAATGAGAAGGACCTAAGTAGGCTGGTAAGAGTATCTACTGTCATGTTTTTCTACCAGGACCTATCTAGAGAACAATGTTCCTCGAATAGGGATTCTCTTGTTCAACGAGACTAACTGTAATGCTCGAACAAGGAGTTGCCAGAAATATGCGCAGGTTTAAGCTATACTGAGGATCAAATGTTGAAGTGGCAACCTTGTTTCATGATAAGACGGTCTAGACTTGGAACCAGTGTTGGCAAGTGCAATAGAATGTTTTGAACTGGGAGAATTTTGTTGCAGAACTGTATAGGAGTTTTCAGAATTTATAAGTGATGAATTCAGTGGAAGAGTTCAGCAAGTTAACTCAGTTACAATCTATCTTTTAGCTATCAGGAACAAATTTGAGGAGATCCAATCCATGATGCTATGAACTAATCTTGCCCCTCCCTGAACAATATTTCAATTAAAGCTTCGTCTACAGCTTTGATTAAAAACTGCCCTATAATTAAAATGTTCAAACCACAACTTCTGAATCTAGCATTGGAGCTCTGCAAAACCATTTCATGCTCAAAGGTATTGAAAGAGGCTAGGAGAGGCCATAGGTTGAGATTCTTTTTGGTACTAAACAAATATTTCTGCTACCACTATGAATGGCTGTCAAGCGCCATTATGAAGGCTACGTACTTGGACGTCATAAAATCCCTAAATTGGTTTTGTCTTGGTGATATCTACTCGTGGTTGTTGGAAATTGCATCATGACTAGCAGTTTAAGTTCAGTTAATTAAAGTTATCATCTATTTTTTTTTTCTGCCTAGTGGATAATTTCGGTACTTATAGTTAGGCTAATATTTGATGTCTTGCTATTTATTTTGCTTGCAAAATGATATGGTGCAGTTAGAAGTATGAATACCACAAGTTTTTCTTTTCATTTCTGAAAACAAGGGATTTTGACACAGAAAATTCTCAGGTAGAAGGCAGATTTACGAGTTCAGGACATGTCTCTGTTCGACTAAAACATGTCTGCATCATCTTACACTCTATGGTTTATTTTTAACGTAAAAGAAACATAAACGATTTTTCATATTATATGGTTTATTTCAGCAGGAGGATGAAGTTTTATCTGCTAGATTGAGGCGTATCATATCTTCGCAAAGTCGACAGTTTTCTTTCCATCATGTGCCTTCTTGAAGAAATGCTTGACGTACTCGGAATAAAGAACCTGCTTGTAGATGGGTTTCTCTCCACTTGCAAGTGCTTCAGGAAAAGGACAGATTATGTCCTGCGGTCTTGGGTTGACAAAGATAGGAATGGAGATCCTGTTCCTGCTTCCATTGGCAACCACACGGTGCTCCACGCTCTTGTACCGGCCATTGCTCATTATTTGTAATGCATCACCAACATTGATGACAAGGGAGCCATAAATGGGTGGGACATGAATCCAGTCATCATTGTTTCCTCTGACATAAAGTCCACCTATATCATCTTGGAGGAGGATAGTGAGGGTGGATACATCTGAGTGGCGACCTACTCCTACTGTAAGTTCAGGGTTGGGACAAATAGGGTAGTAGTTAAGGTTGATTCTCACAGAACCCATCAACATAAGTTCTTTTGTTTCATCAATCTCATTCACATTGAGTCTCTTCATTAGCACCTGCAGTAGTCTTCTGATAAGAATTTTCGAGCTCTTCATGTGTTCCAGCACTTGATTCCTACAAGCAAATCCTTATTCATTACTTCATTTACAATACTTTTGTTTAAAGCATCCATATAAATGCTAAGTTTAAAACATTTACCTGCAGACAGGAGGCCACAATTCAAAAGCCTCATTCATCAGAAACATAGAAGGAGGCTGAGTAATCTTTCCACTCCAAGGCTTTCTCTGCTACAGGACTAAAGCTACTACCAAACCGCACACTATTAGATGGTGAAACTCCCTTAGAGTACTTTCTCTTTTCCGCTGACGGTAACCCATAGAACTGATGAGTTGCATTCTGCACGTTTTCAAGCACATCAGTGGGCACTCCATGATTGACAACTTGAAAAAATCCCCACTTCTCTGCTGCATCACAAATTGCATTTGCAACTTCTGGGTCCTCCCAGTTAGACATATCAATGATGGGTATGGATTCTTGAGGTATGTTGTTGTCCTCATTGACAATGATCCTCTCCTCTAATGGTTGGATGTATTGCTCAGGCAGAGATTTGAGGCCTAATTCGGAGAGACCTTTCACTCCATTACCTTGGTTTAGAACAAAATCTCTGATCTCTGAGGAGTCTGTGATTGGTAACGAAATGGTTGGAGCCATGAGATATAGTAAGCAAGGTAGACTTACAAGAGCAAAGAAGCGCTTTGAAGAAATGGTGGTGCAGCTTATTTGTCATGCACAGGTACTTATATACGGATTGCTTATTTGTCATTTTTTATAAAATTTTCAAGTGCTCTTCTCTTGGCTCACCAGCTCACTTGGCAATATGCATGCCTTTCTTACTTGTGTAAGTATTAACTGTGCATGACTTTTACACACACACACATATATATATGCATATGTCAACCCAATGAACATATGGATAGAAATTTTTCTAAAATAAGGGAAAAAAGCAATATCTTTTATTTGTACAAATAACAAGAAAGTAACAAGGAAAAAAAGAAATTGACTGTTTTAAATATTTTATTAGTTCAAGGTAAATGGTACAAAGTGTTTTGTATTTATTTTATATACAGTATTTTCATGTATGTATACCTTTTTTCCTTAGCCTTTAAAGAACTTCTGTGAAAGCTGCAGTTAACTCAAGGACTTATTATCTTCTCTATGTGGGAGAAGGGCACAACCATCAAATTAATTTTTTCTGGCTCGTGCATGCATGTTTATGTGTGGTAGGTTAGGGTGTTTTTTCCATATTTTTATTGAAATAAAATATTTTCAGAAGTACGTATCTACTGTGTATTGTATATGTGTGCATATATATATATATATATATATATATATATATATATATATGTGCGCTTGCGTGTGTATATGAACATGTGTCATGTCATGTTTGAGGTTAGGTGGGAATGGTTCTACTGGGTGCTGCATGTATTTGTTCAAGTAAAATATTTACAGTGCATCTACTTCTATATATAGTCAAAGGTCTTCATTTCTCTCATTAAATTTCATGTATAGGCATGATGATCATAGGAACAGATAATGCCTACGCATATATATATATATATATACACTCCTATTGAGCATTTAAATTTTGTAAATCATATAATTAGTCAAAGTTATTTAATTCTATCCTACTATTCTATTAATTCAATAAAAATAACTGCATTACCATACTTTAATACATAATTTCTTCAAACACAGTAGAATTTTTTCATTACGGTATCATATATGAATAAATTGTCATGAAAGTCATCCACACACATCTTAAAAATTCACACAAACATAATTTTTTATACATAAATAATTAAAGATTTATTATTAAATTCCAAAATTCAGCCCATGGACATGGATCAAAGGCCATGTGTTAGCCCATGAAAGACGACATGTGAAAGGCCACACGATGAAGCAAAAGACAAAGACGAAGCTGCTCAGAAGAAGGGGGGTGATACTGAAAAGAGGAAAAAGGACAATAAGAGCACTGGTTCCATTGAAGCACCTGATAAGAAGGTGATTGCCTATAGCTGAATTCCTCTAGGTTGTAAGCCTTCTACTCTTTGAATAGTCTATTTGTTTCAGACTCAGGTTTCAATCAATACCCTTTTTTTTTTTCCGTGCCAAGTGTTTGATGAAATGCCAAAGCCAAAATCAGTATCCATTTTTTGAAATATTTGAGTATGCATGAGCTGAAAATCGGATGGTCGACGTCATGCTTTCTATTGAATCATCCGTGTGGGATGGAACAAACCAGATTGTAATTGATTCAGTTGATTCAGTTTTAAGGTTGAAAGCTGTCTGGGAGTTGGGAGCTTGCTTAATTTTGGGTAAGCTTTGTTTTGAAATGAATACGCATAGGAATCATTCACTTGATCTCGAATTTTCATTTCTGATAAGGCGTGATGTGAACTCAATTGGATTTAGATTTTCCACGGAATTGGTTATTGTTTCCTTTTCTAGAAAATCTTCTTGCCGATTCTCTCCGCCGCTTTCTTTAAAATTCTAAGTAGGATGCCCTTGAAAATCTGGTGAGAATCTGTTTGTAGATTAAGTTGTGAGTGTAAGAAATTTGATGAAAATACAGACTTATCTCATCATCACCATTGTTATTGTTATTACTTGATATTAACGATTTCAGAACTGAATTTGTTATTGAAGAATGTACATCAGTAAGCATGAATTATTTTTCTTTATTTTTCTCTTTATTATGCATTTAAGATTTTCACCCACCCAAGCTCTTTCATCTGCAATATTTGGTCAAAATATGTTGACTACCCTATAGAGATGGAATCGTAAGTGTGTGATAAAATGACAAGGTACTGAAGAAGGCACGAATAGGCCATCAATTGAGATTTTCTTTTTGTACTAAACAGAGTCTTCTGTTGTTACTATGGATGACTGTCGAGTGCCACTCCTTTAGGTTTCAGGCTACATACTTGGAAATCACGTGATCCTAAATGGTATTGTCTTGTCTCCTTGATGCCTATTCATGGTTGCTGCAAATGATATCGCTATTAGCAGTTTAAATTAAATTACTTTAGGTTTTCATCTATTTTTCATCTGCCTCTTGTCTCAGTAGGTAGACAATATTAGTGCTTATTGTTAAGCTACTGTTTTATTTGTTGCTAGTTCATTTTGCTTAAAAAATGTTATGTTGTTAGAAGTCCGAATCAAAAAGACTTTTCCTAAAAGCAAGAAGGATGATGGTGCAAAGAAAATTCTCAGGTAGAGAAAAGATTTATGAGTTGGGGACATGCCTCTGAGTAATACATGTCTCTGCCTCTTACATATATTTTGGTTTTTCTTCCCGTCGTGTGCCTTCTTGAAGAAATGCTTGACATAATCTGAATAAAGAACTTGCTTGTAGATGGGTTTCTCTCCACTTGCAAGGGCTTCAGGAAGAGGACATTATATGTCTTGTGGTCCTGGGTTGACAAAGATGGGAACTGAGATCCTGTTTTTGCTTTTGTTGGCAACCACGCAGAGCTCCACGCTCCTGTAGCAGCCGTTGCTCATTATTTGCAGTGCATCACCAACATTAATGACAAGGGAGCCATAAATGGGTGGGACATGAATCCAGCTATTGTCATCATTGTTTCCTCTGACATAAAGTCCACCTATATCATCTTGGAGGAGGATAGTGATGGTGGAGACATCTGAGCGGTGACCTACTCCTACTGTAAGTTCTGGGTTGGGACAAATGGAGTTAGTAGTTAAGGTTGATTCTCACAGAACCTATTAACATAAGCACTTTTGTTTCATCAATCTCATTCACGTTGAGTCTCTTCATTAGCACCTGCAGTAGTCTTCTGATAAGAATTTTCGAGCTCTTCATGTATTCCAGCACTTGGTCCCTACAAGAAAATCCTTATTCATCATGTCATTTACAATAATTTGTCTAAAGCATCCATACAAATGCTAAGTTTAAAACATTTACCGGCAGACAGGAGGCCATAATTCAAAGGCCTCATTATCAGAAACATAGAAGAGGCTGAGGTAATCTTTCCACTCCAGTGCTTTCTCTGCTACAGGTCTAATGCTACTACCAAGCCGCACACTATTAGATGGTGAAAACTCCTTAGAGTACTTTCTCTTTTCTTCTGATGGTAATCCGAAGAATTGATGAGTTGCATTTTGAACATTTTCAATTACATCAATGGATATGCCATGATTGACAACCTGAAAAATTCCCCACGTCTCTACCGCGTCACAGATTGAGTCTGTAACTCTCTGGTCATCCCAGTTTGACATATCAATAACAGGTATGGATTCTGATAGGTCCCAATCAGAAGTTAAAGTAAATTAATAAAGAAATTCTCTTCGGACGAGAATAAACCACAAGATTTTTTTAACTCAAAAATTGCCTCCTTCCTTCCTGCTTAGAAAGAGTTTAAATACAATAAAAATACAACTGCTAATTCCTACTTTTAAGCAATAAATAGAATAATGGCTTTAACTGCTTACTGAAAATGGGATAATGGCTTCAATTACTTGCTGACTGAGTCTACCACAATTGCTACCCACCCTTTTATTGCTGATATACTTTGGGTGTTTAGCAGATTCTTGAGGTATGTTGTCGTTGTCCTCATTGACAATAGGCCTATCCTCTAACGGTTGAATGAACTGGTCAGGCAGAGACTTGATGCCCAATTCAGAGAGACCTTTCACTCCATTGCCTTGGTATAAGACAAAATCAACAATGTCGAAGGAGTCCTTGATTGGTGCGGGAGTGACTGGAGCCATGAGAAGCTGTGGACTAGTGTATTTAGTGGATTAACGAAGAACTTTAAATAAATGGAATGTAGCTTAGTCATCATGCATAGCTTATTTATATAGACGCATGGCTATTGTTATGTTCCAAAAATTTCCAACGATTCTTTTCTTTGCTGACAACCTCACTTGATTGTATGCGTGTGTTTTTTTATGTGTCGGTGTTGAAACATTTATATTAAAAGGAACACGATTGGTGGAGGTCATTGTCCCCCTAAACTCGATCGTGATGGCATGAGACTACCTGAATAACAAGTGGAACATGCTAAAACTCAAACCGAGGATTTTATACTCGGTAAAATTTTCAACTCAGCAATTTTTTGCAACTCGAGCCACTTCTCAAATGTACAGGTATGTCTACTTACTTGACAATTGCTTTTATTCATCTGCCCGTGCATGAATTTAGACAGATATATGTCCACGCATAGACAAGAGCATGTATTTCTTCATGAGCATATATAGGTATAGGTATATTGATTTATGACCAATCAACCTCTTGCTCAGTTCAGTTCCATTGAAAATGAAAGAAAAAAGAATATAGTAGCAACTGTATATTCCTAGTTATGTTCTAGCAGGATTGCCATAATGATTCTTAACCTTTAAAATGACATACTAATTTGAACACTGACAATCAGGAACTCTTTAGTTCTGATTCTCTTGACTAGGTGATGATCTGAAAACTGAACTAACTAATAACCAGAACTTTTGCCCCGCATTTTCATTCTAAAAAAAGGGTAGTAAAGTTCTTGCAAACCAAAAAGTAGTTCTATTCTAGGTTCATATACTATCCACCTCTTAACGCAGCGAGGAGATTATGATGAATTACTATTTACTGTGATAAAACATTGTAATGTAATTACAAGTTCCTTATAACGTTATTTTATTTTCGTTAGTCGCTTCTTAGTAGGTACGAGTAAAAATTCAATCTCAAAGCTTTTACTCAATTGAAGTAACTGACACCTTGGTAGTTCTCTTTATTTTTTTTTTATATATCTGCAGAACCTCTATATGTTAAATAGGAGTTAATCAATCTGTAATGAGATTGCTTAACCTGTTAGGAAGTTGTTGTTACCTAAAAATACTTGAAAAATCGTGAGCTAAGTAGTTAGGTTTAGTAATTAGCGTGTTACCAATCAAAATTAGATTTCTTCACCTTATGCAGGACTCCATTTCTTTTCTGGAAACTCTTGAATCCTAGCCCTTGTTGCTCAAACTCTTTCTTCTTTTTAGTTATACTGAACTTTGTTTCCTTTTGTAGATGACTTCTAAATTTGAGAATCCTCTTGATTGTATTATGATTTCCTGACTAGTTAGTATAATGATTGAACTTTTGTGTCTTCATAAACAAGTATATTGAGTGTGGATATAAACTACATATATATATATATATATATATATATATATATATCTATTATTTTTACACAAAGAATTCTTTAACTTCATTTTTTTTTTGTTGAGATGTTCTTGGTTTCGTTGTGACATTGCTTGATCTTGAACAAGTTTCATTGCTTCAAAACTTTTTAAAGACAATCATGGTCATGATCTTCCTGGTCTTGATTTATTGAAGACTTTAGATTTTTCGGGAACAAAAAACTAAATCGAGTTTGTAATTCGTTATAGTTATTTCACTAAGAGAATTTGATTATCACTAGATTTATTTAGTTCAATTTAGTTATTAAAGTTCATAATGTGTTAATAAACTAAATCCATTGAAATAAAAATTATAGACCGAAAAGATCGAATTAAAATATTATAAGTTCGATTACTGATGATTGTTAATACACCCACAATTCAAATTTTAATAAAACTATATAAGCAAATAATATATGTATAGGGTAATAAAATTTAAGTTTTTAATAAAGTTTAAATTCATGAACTTTAAGATTGGATGCTATAAAATGCTTAGTGTAAAAATAATTTATATACATTGACTATAGAAAGTTGCTTATATACCTCTTAATATATTTTCTGATTTAAAAAAAAAAAAAAAGATTTACACAAAATGGTTTTGTCGTTTATGCCTCGTTATCATTTGTTAAATTTCCACACAGCAACCCGATTGAACGAAACCCGAGAACCCATCACCCGTATCAATCCTTTCAATTTTACCATTTTGCCCTTCTACCATCTCCGCCGTGTAAAACCCCTGCGCAGCTCCCTCGTATTCGGATCCCGTAACCAGTACCCGATTCCCCATCATCACCCCGCATACCCCGACCCGAACCACCGGGTCCAACTCCCCCAAGTTCACTAGTCCCCCGTCTTTCCCCACCCCGACACATGATTTCGGGCACCGACCCGCCTCCCAAACTCCCTCCACCCTCCTCCACTCGCCCGACCCGATTCCGTAAACCTCCGCGCTCCCCTCGAACGCTCCCTGCGTTTCTGTCCCGTACCCGCTCACCACCCAAAACTCGTCTCCTATCACCAACCCCTCGCACTCGTCTCGCTCTTGACTCAGCGGCGGCAACTCACTCCACTCGTTTCGATTCACGTCATAAACCCACCCGGATGAAATCGCGTTCTTGTTCTCGTCGTGTCCGCCTGCAACTAAAACCCGACCCGAGCACGCTCCGATTGCGAAGAACGACCGCTTTCCCGCCATTTCCTTCCCTTGCTTCCATCGCCGAATAGTGAAATCGTAAACGAAAACGTCCTTAACCGGTTCATAACTCACCGGGTCCCATCCCCCCGTGAGTACAAGCTTCCCTTCAGAGCTCGCCACTTGACAGAACAAAGGCAACCCGTTTGGGTATTTCGGTATGGGAGGGAGTCGCTCGCAGGTTCGACTCACCGGGTCGAAGACGGTGATGCCGTAACTCGGTGACCCACTCTGTTTCATCCCCCCACATGAGACGACGACGACTCCAGTAGACTGAACCAAACAAGCAAGCTTACGCGTATACCCATGCTTCTTTCTATGGAAGTAAAACTCTTTGCTCTTGAGCAATAATCGCCACCGACGACACACCTGGGAGGCGACTCCGTGAGCTGAGTAAGGCAAACGAGTTAAGCACTCGAGACCCAGTTCTTCGGGCAAACCGGGGATTAACTCGGGAAATTCGGATCCTTCCATTTTTGGAAAGCACACTTGTCTCAGAAGGTTTCTTCCGGTGCGTTTCTTCCCGGGTCCCGAGAAGCCTCTTTTTATAAGCGTCCGTTAGATAACGGAACGTTTTCAGCGTCTTATAAATGGATGCCACGTGTTAAGTGACGTGGGTGACGTTGTGTAAAATATCTCGACGGTCTAGAAGGATTTGATAAGTGGCCGTGTTTTTCACTAGCGATGAGGATAAGGACAAACAATGGATTAGGCACGTGTCAAATCACTGACACGTGCCGTAATCAAGTAATTATTTTTTAAAAAATAAAAATTGAGTATTTTTCTTTCACTTAATTTATAAATAATTAAAAATAAGAGGATAAATTTAATGAATGTATACATAATGACTTAAAGATGGGAAATCATATATATATATATATATGTATGTATATATATTTTTGTAACATCATTCGGCAAATGATCATTGCATGGCCGGTTTGCCTACACCTTTTTTTTTTTCTACTTTATTATATATATGTGTGTGTGTGTGTACATACATATGCGCATATACACACACATATATATTGTATCTCGACGCCAAACTACTACTAATTCAATAATCTTCTAAAAGTTTAAATTTATACACACACACATGTATATATATATATATGAGCATATATACACACATATATAAATTGAATGATTAGCTCATCAATTATGTCATACATTTTGTCTATCTCATATCAATATTACAATTTCAATATGGCCACCCTTCTACGTCATGCAACATATATATATATATATATATATATATATATTTCTTTAAATATTTCTTATTGCTTAAAATATAATATATATACCTACACATACTACAAATTAATATATGTACAACATTTTTTTATTACTTTTAAATGAAAAATTATAATTTAAGCTCTATATCTACTTACACATATCATGCATGTTATACATGTATAATAACTCTTAACATATATGTATCTTAAATTAGGCTGTATGTATAAATTATCCATACACAAACATATATTTTTTGGGAATCAAAAGGGAAGGCGGCCCATATTGCTTCTTGGCTCCATCACTATATGTATATATATATATATGTATATGTATATGTATATGTGGTTTGTCACCATAATATGAATTTGTATCAATTGATATAGATAGTTATAGCTTCTCCTTATGACCCTTTTCTCCAAGCTAAGGAATAAGTATGGTTCTTTCCCTAATCATGTTAAGATATCTCATCTTTGATTTCTTATTTAATAATTCCTGCTTACGAGTTTAAATCGAATTGTATTTATATATATTCTCGTTTAGAACTTATTTATATTATATTATAATTAATATATATATATATAGTATTTTCGTCGACCTCTGTATAATTGAATGATTGATACTTCTATTTTCTTGCTGCACAGATCATAAACCAGAACTGGAACTTAAATAACAGTTGATGAAGTGAAAGCAGATTGCTTCAAATAGGATATACATATGAACATATATATATATATATGTACATATTGTTAACTAGGATACTTGGGGTTGAAGCTTAATTGGAAGGCATACAATTAAGAAATGGCTGAGCTTCTCTATTACATCTCAAACAGGTCAGCTGTACATGAACCAAGAGTTAAAATACACATATACTTTTCTTTATTATATTGTACAGAAAAAGTAGGTGGTGTATCTGCAAACAGGGTTTCTAGTGTAAATCACCACCATCCCCATCATCATCTTCATTGTCCAAATTTTCCATTGCAGTAATCTTGAACTGAATCCACTTCTTGTATTTACAGAGCTCTGTAATGAAGTACCAAGCAATGCCAAAAGAAGTAAGGAGAAGGCTAACAACAAGAACAGTTTTAGTACCAATAACCATTACATACACCAGAAACCCAGATGGGATTACACACAAAATCACCAAACCAGGTAGCTCTAATGGAACCCTAAATGGCCTTTCCAAATTTGGGAACTTCCTCCTCAACCAGAGAAATGAAGCAAATTCTAACAGCATCCCTAAACTATACAAGAAATTTGCTGAAGAAATCAAGTCTGAGAATTCCAGATAAGAAGCTCCGAGTGCTATTAGTGAAGTTACAAGAATCCCAACCCAAGGAGTGTTAAACCATTTTGATCTTACTCCAAAACAATCAGGCAAAACCCTAATCAGCCATGCCCAGAAACTGATATGCACAGCTACTTAACTGTGCTTCATAAAGTCCTATAATTGAAAAGAAAGCACCGATTTCAACACAGATTTTGAGCCATTTTCCACCAATTAATTCGGCTATATTTGCAAAATACCCATCAACCCAATCTTCTTGGTTTAAAGTCACAGCTCCTGTGCCAGCCAAAAGGGGCAAAAGATAAGCCAAACAAGTGATTAACCCAGCAAAGAAAAGTGCTTTAGGGTATGTCCTCTGAGGCTGCTCAACTTCACCAGCTAAAGTACTGGCATTGTCCCAGAAATTCAGATTCCAGAAAAGGGTATTGAAGAACAATCTCCAATCTTTCTTTACCCCGCTCTGCCCTAAACTAACCCACCTACCCGGATCAATATTTGGGATTGAAATCAACGTCAACAACACAAATGGAAGAAGAGAAATAAACCCTAAAGTCACTGCAGTGTAACCAACAATGGCTAAACCAGAGTAATTCAAGAAAGACAACACACAGGTTACAGCTAAAACTGAAGAGTACCTACAGAAACCGGAGGAGAAAATGGGTATGGCCAATTTTAAATAATCTACACAGAGGATTGGGTAAGAAGCCAAGTTGATGGCACCCGAGATGAACTTCCACCAACCCATTAGGGATCCGAAGAAGGGTCCGAATGCCTTGTCGGCCCATATCACGTACCCGCCATTGCCAGGAAATGCAGTGGCGAGCTCTGCTGTGACAAGAGCTTCAGGAATGCTCCAGATGAACGGGAAGACAAGGAATCCGAGAATGGCGAGCAAGGGACCCGCCGCGCCGACGGCTGGTTCCGCGCCGTATGCGCCGCCGGAAACCTCGAAGTAGATGAGGAAGACGAGGGGGAGGATGGATAGCTTCTTGTTAGCGTGTTTGGGAGGAGCTGGAAGCTGCTGTTCATGGTCGAGAAGGGATTGTGAGGAATCTCCTTCTCCCATGGCGGGTCAGAATCTTTGGAATGCTTCGAGAATCAAGACGTTGCAGGCGGGTTTTCGGATTGATTTTCAGAGAATCTCGGAGAGATCAGAAAGTTTCTTGCTTGCGGGAGAAAATTCTACAAGTTGGCACGTTAGTTGAGTTATTGTGATCATATTTTTTATTCATTATAATGTTTTCGTATATTTTTTAAAACACACACACACACACACACATATATATATATTTTAAAATATTAATTTATAATTTGTAAAATTTTAAAGGTTATATATGTATATATATATATAGATATATGTGATGGGAGTTGGAAAAATTTATTCAAAGAAATTAGATAATGAAATTGACAGATGAAACAATAGAAAAATCATCTCATGCAAAGCATGGTAGCCCATTCTGTGATTACATCTATCCCCACAATCAATAAAGTTCAATACTTTATTATAATATAAAAATGAAAATATCTACATACAATAATATATCTCTATATATATATATATATAATATAATATTTTACATGTGGGTCTATCACAAATTAAAAATAATCCTTTCCTTACTTGAAGGAATTTAAATTACATAAAGCAGGTTTATAGAGAATCAAGATCTCCATATCATCTGTCAAACTCTCAACAAGATATATATATATATATATATACATATATTTATCTACATGTATATATAATGTGGGCAATGGAAACAGCTTGAATGCTGGCATTCAACAGATCTACCAACCCAGCAGACCCTACTTCTTTTTGACTGGTGCATAAAACAGCAAAGCAATGGAGAGAAACTAACAAGGAGACCAGAAAAGAAAGGATTATTATATTATTATAATATATATATACAAATACACATTCATAATTCTTATATATATATATATATATATAGGGACCCAGAAAAGAAAATATCAGTATTTCTGAAGAGAAATCTCCCTTTTGTTTAAACTGATAAGCCTGGTTAAACCTGATACAAGCAACTGATTTTCTGCATAGTCATACACAATTTGATGGCAGATGTAGCATAATTGTCCTGCAAATAACTTTAGGTTATGAATGAATTCATCCACAGGAATCAACCAAATCAATCTTTTGAACCCCATTCTTCATTAATCTCACCATTGCTGAACTTAAAAATCTTCTTTGACTTGCAGAATTTCATCAAGAAATACCATCCAATTGCACCCACAGTCATTAATCCACTCATCAGATAAACAGTTTTTGTTCCAAAAACCATTATGACTGTCAAAAACACAGATGGAATCAGACACATAACCAGCAATCCCGGCACATTTAATGGCACTTTGAAAGGTCTTTTCAGTCCTGGTAACTTTCTTCTCAGCCAAATAAACGAAGCAAATTCCAACAACATACCCAAACTATACAAGAAATTTGCAGATGAAATGATGTCTGTAAAGTCCAAATGTGAGACAGCAAGGGTAATCAGTGTTGAAATCAATATCCCTAACCAAGGAGTATTGAACCATCTGGATCTAACACCAAAAACCTTTGGCAAAAGCCCTAAAGTTGCCATGCCCTCAACCTGATAGGCACAGCTGCTTAACTGAGCTTCATATAACCCGATTCCAGACAACACAGCACCAACTTCAACCCAAATTTTCAGCCATTTCCCACCTAGCATATCTGCAGCAATGGCATGGAAACCTGACTCCCATTCAGTCTGATCGACAGAAACAGCACCAATCACAGCAAAGAGAGGAATCAAGTAAGCCAGACAAGTGAAAATCACAGCAGTAAGTAGAGCCAAAGGGAAGGTTCTCTGAGGCTTATCTACTTCACCAGCAACAGTACTAACACTGTCCCAGAAATTCAGATTCCAGAAAAGGGTATTGAAATACAGTGTCCAATCTTTCTTTACCCCTTTCTGGGGCAACCCAATCCATCTGTTGGGACGGATTTTAGGGATAGCAATGAAGGACATTATAATGAATGGTGCAAGAGAGACGAGGCCTAGAAAAACAGAAGTATACCCAACAATGGTTAATCCTGTATAGTTGAGAAAAGAGAGAAGCAATGTTGATATCAATACTGAAATTTGTCTAGGCCAGCCTGATTCCAACGCAGGAATCATCCTCTTCAAATAGTCAATACAGAGGATTGGGAAAGAAGCAATATTGACGACTCCACTGAGGAATTTCCATGAACCCATCATGGATCCAGCAAAAGGGCCAAAAGCACGTTCAGCCCAGATCACAAAACCGCCATTTCCAGGGAAAGCAGTGGAGAGCTCGGCGGTTATCAGCGCTTCTGGGACGCTCCAGATGAAAGGGAAGATGAGGAAGCCGAGGAGAGCTAGAAGCGGACCCGCCGCCTGGACAGCCGGCTCCTCACCAAATGGACCACCTGCAACTTCAAAATATATGAGGAAAATCAGAGGGATCAGAGTCAGTTTCTTTTTTGTGATAACAGCTGGTGGTGTGGTGGCCGTCGTGGTCGTTATAGGCAGTTCTTGAATCGTACTTGCTGATTCTTGTGGAGCTTTCATGGTGATGAATGAAATCTCTGAATGGAAACCTCTGGTTTCTAACTCTGCTTGCTTCTCCTTCTTCTTCTTTGAGCAATTCAAGCACAACCCAGATGCCGGATTGGACAGAAACAGTGATGGAGATTCGAGGAATGGGTCATCAGTCAAGAATGGTGGATTGAACTGTGAAGATAATAACGTAATTTCCAAGAACAGAAAAGAAAGAGACAGTAAGAAAAGTTTTTTTTTGGAGTGAGTGAGGATCAAAAAGTTACAAATACAAGAATCTTTTCTTCGGATTCCTAGAGAATCTGTAAATTATATTTTTCTTTGTCCTGGAGAGAAAATTCAAAGTGGGAAAAAGATCATTTTATAAAAGATATTTTTTTCACTTCGATTAGGCGGATTTGGAAAGACTCGAGAGACGAATAAGACATTGAATTTATTCCTTATCATCAACGTGCTTTTTCTTATTGAAAATAATATTTTTATTATTTAAAAAAAAAATTATGAACTTATATTTATTTAATTCAAAGATTACGAAGTTTAAATACGATTTAAATCATTTATCTGCCTTAATTTTGAAACTT